ATATATGTGCAGATGTATCTGTTGTGTATGTATGTTAATATATATATATATATATATATATATATATATATATTATCTATATTATACATGCATGCATGCGTATATGTGCATATGTGTATATGACGTATGTGTTGATGCAAATATACAGACTCATACCACTGAATGCTTATACATCCATAAATAAGCACAAAAAGAAAATATGCATACTATATATATGCATATATATATATATATATACGTATATATAGTAATATATATATATATATATATATAGAGAGAGAGAGAGAGAGAGACAGACAGACAAAATGCATTTATATATATTAAACGTCAAAGCCATTTACATAATAACAAACAGCAGCAGACGCAATTATATTAAATGCGAATGCACTTATAAAAATAAGAGGTTGATGTGCAGTTAACAGGAAGAAGAAGCGTCAAAGCCCCAAAAAAGCGGCATTTGTTTGAATTAATTTATTTAAATGAATTTATCTTCAACTCAACATCACCCCCTGCATGCAATGCAAAAAAAGAAGAAACCGATGCCCCTCTTAATTAGTCGCACTCAACTCCGCTGCATTTCTCCGTGTTTGCATGCATGCATGCATGTTTGCATGCATGCATGTTTGCATGCATGCATGTTATTATGCATACATGCATGCATGTTTGCATGCATGCATGTTATTATGCATACATGCATGTTATTATGCATGCATGCATGCTTTACTGCATGCATGCATGCATGTTTGCATGCATATGCGTTTCATTCGTGTTTGCATGCATGCGTTTCTGTATGCATGCATGCATGAATGCATGCAAAGGACACCCCACATGCATGCGTGCATGCATGCATGCATGCATGCATAGTGCTTCCTCCTCAACGGCAACCTCCCTGCCCTGATATACAGGCGAAGAAAGAAGTGCTGAAAGAAGAGATTAATGAATATATAATAAAAGAAAATAAAAACAAATAATAAAAGATAAAGAAAAACAGCAAAGAGATATTCAGTGACAAACACTGCCCATTTACCCCCAGCCAAAACACCCGTAAGAACTCCATTGCATGCACAAAGACAGAGAGGTATATATACAGCA